CGGCCCCCGCCGCGGGCCCCTCCTGCCTGACGTCAGGCTGAGCTGAGCATCTCCCGTGAGGGAGGCAGATGTCACCGTAAAGGACGGAACCCCTCCTCAGGTAGCCTGTCCGCCAGCGCGAGGAGAACTTGAGAGGTGACAGAGAGGGATGGTGCCTTCGCGTCTCGCTGCCCCTTCTATCCGCAGGTCTTCGCCGGGCACGTCCCCAAAGTCCATCATGGGTCCACTCGGCAGCGCCGCTGCTCGCCCTGCGGCCGGACGCCTCCGGGTGGAAAGCCCCCCATCGCGAGTGGGAGGCGATGCCTTCAGGCTCCCCGCACGGCACCCCAGGAGCGACGTACACGCCGCAGCTTATTGCAGGTGGAAACCCGGAGCTGCACGGGACTGTCCGGCTCGGGCTAGCGGTGGGGTCTGCGGGCCTAGGACGCTCACGGGCGCCAGGAGGCTCCTCCGTGCAAGACGGGCGCCCAGTCCACGGGACGCTGTCCCCTCGTCCCACACACCACGTCACAGCCTCGTGAGCCCCGCAGAGTGAGGGCTGGATCCAGACAGAAACCAGTATGCTGGCCCCACGGCCCTCAGTCTCGTCCTGACCATGACGATGACGATGACAGCGACTGTAAGGTCATCGAGGAAGATGCATCGATCTCTCCGGGTACCCGTCCTTGAGCGCTGGCTCCCCGCCAGGCGGCCGTCAGCACCTTCGCACGCGACCTCCGGATCGTCACAGAAAGTCCACGCCTCCCGGCTGCACGTCCTCCCTCGACAGATGTCAAAGCTGCGGCCGGAGTCCTTGGTCCCCGACACAGCTCTGCACAGCTGGGCACGGGCCACGCGGGGACAGAAGCCGACTCTGACTCCTGCGGCCTCGCGGCTCCACGAAGCAGCCGTCAGCCGCCGGACGGAGGTTTGGCACCGAGCTCAGTGCTGCTTTTCTTAAGTTTTGTTGTGTTTTTGGTTTTTTTGTTTTTGTTTTTTTTAAAGAAAGCAGAGTTTTTAAGGTAGCAAAGCACAGGGGAACGGAAGCAGCAACGGTGAGAACCTTACCGTTTTCTTTGAAGCAAAACTTCTTTTCACCAGTAGCTCGCTTCACCAAAGCCTCCAGAAGCAGCCATGCTGGGAAAAACGACCGGACGAACAGGGAGAACCGGCCGGCTCGGGCGCAGCGTGCAGCTCCGCTCCCGTCCCGTGACCAGCCAGAAGCCGCGCTCTGTCAAAGCCGGTCCTTCTGCTGCCTGTCGCCCGTCGCGTGACCCAGTCCCCTGAAGCCACCACGCAGAGACACACGCCCCCCGGGAGCCACGTTCCGAGCGGCCGCCACAGCCCAGCGCGAGAACGCGCCGGATCTCTCAGTCCGAAGGCAAATCTTTAAGAAAACGGGACGGACCCGTCCAGTTTCGCTGGCCGTGCATATTTTTTTTCGCAGAGTCGAGCACGACACGTGACATTCAAAGACCCTTGCCCGGACTTAGACCCCGACCGACAGCATGCGATCGACGCTTCTCGTCCGGCGCTGGGAAAAACGCACACGCTTCGCCCACGTGTCGAGACGAATCTCGAAGCAGATTCAACAGACAGGACGGAAGTCGGCAGCATGAGAAAATCC